TGGGACGGAAGAGCCACTGCTGCTAGCGAAGCCCCACCCTAGCTCTGGGGCTCAAAGGCAGGGGGCGGAGAGGAATAGATGTGGCAGAGAACTACTCAGCCCCCTGCCAGACAGATACGTTATCCTGTGGTGAGAGAGAGAAACCTTTTTTGCTGGGACTGCTGGCGCTCCTAACGAAGGAATCTTTGGGTTAACTACAGAGGGCTTGTCGTGTTTGGGAGCCGGATCAGGACAGTGAACTGTGAGTCATCCTTGGACTCTGAATCCACCTTTGGCCTCTGTGGCTGAGAGAGATTTCCCCACAGTTTTTAAGAAACTTTACTTTTTGGGATCAGAGTTGAGGATGATCCTGGCTTACTTTGCCTGTGTTCATCCCCCCCCCCCTCTTATGTGCTACTGTTGACAGTCTTTTGGAAACTCTACTGGAAGAAGGAAAGAGGGCAAAGCCAAATAGGGCTTAACAAGGAATCGTGGCTTAAGGTCACACAGCCTAAGAGCATGAGAGTTGCAGGGGGCAGGATGGCAGAAACATTAAAACATTTAGTGATTTTGCAGAGTCGTATCTAGAAGCAAATGTGCAAAGTCATATCTCCAACACAGGAAGATTTTAAGAAGAGGTTGGATAAGTCTTGGTCTGAAACGTTGTAGGGTTTCCTGCCTCGGCAGGGGGTTGGACTAGAAGACCTCCCAGGCCCCTTCCATCTCTGTTATTCTATTCTAAGCCTGGCTGAAAGCCTGTGGATTGAGAGGTGAAGAAGCTTCAGATGGAAACTGTCCATGTTCCAGAATGGCCTAGAAGAGACTCTGGAGGAGACAGGAGGGCTGCCCCATCCTCTGAATCTGTCGTGGTCTTCTTCCCAAACAGGGAAAGGGAAAGTGGACGTCCAGGCTTACCTGAAGCAGTGGCAAGACGAGATCCTTAAAAAGGAAGAAAGCATTAAGGATCTGCCCCGGATGAACCAGGTGGGAGCTTTTCTGGAGACAAGTATTTTGTTCTAGTGGGCTATTTATTCCACCACCACAGGGAGGGTAGAGCAAATATTGATAGAATATTTGTAACTCAGGTTTGAACTGTGGAGAGAACCTTGGTGCTCTCTGGGCTTGGCGGTTTTCTTGCAGACGTTTCACGACCCAACTAGGTAACACTACCAGTGCTAGGAGGGGGGGAGAGGAATGGGTTGTGGAGTGCTTGGCGGTTTTCCTGCAGACGTTTCACTTACTCTACTAAGTAACGTCATCAGTGCTAGAAGAAGGGGGAAGGACTGTGGGGTCATTGGTGCTCTGTAAGCTTGGTGGGTTTTTTTTTTTGCAGACGTTTCATTACCCTACTAGGTAGCATCATCAGGGCCAGAAGGGGGAGAAGGATGATTGTAGGATCCTTGGTACTCTTTGAGCTTGGTGGTTTTCTTGCAGACATTTCATGACCCAGCTAGATAACATCTTCAGGTTTACAGTGGTAATGATGATGCTACCTAGTTTGATAATGAAACATCTGCAAGAAGACATGAAATGTAATGAAACATCTGCAAGAACACCACCAAGAGCACCAAGAACCCCATACGATAAATGCTGCTAAAGGACGCCTCTCCTCACCTGGAGATCTTCAGGCACGGAGACCTCCAACCCCTGCCAGACGATCCGTGAGATTTGGAGATCATGGGGATGGTTATTCGATGCATCTTCAGGACCCTTGAGGAGGAAATGTAGCCAAGGCACCATTTTTATAAAACAGCTGCCTCTGTTTACCCACCTGCCCCCTCTTGGTCTGAAAACCCTCCTCCTCCTCTCTCCCTCCCCAGTCCCAGTTCATCCACTTCTCCAAGACCTTGTACAACCTCTTCCACGGGGATCCCGAAGAAGAGCTGCTCTTCCGGGCGATCGCTACCGTTACGGGCCTCTTGCTGAGGATGGAAGAGGTGGGCCGGAAGCTCCAGAGCCCCACTTCCCCCACCCGGAGAGGGACATCCCCCACGGGGGGTCCTGCACTGGCCTCCTCCCAGAGGGACGACCCAGGAGCCCCGGTCTCCGTCCCCGTCAGTGAGGGCTGGTCGTTCGCCTTTGAGCAGATCCTGGCCTCCTTGCTGAACGAACCGGCCTTGGTGAGGTTTTTCGAGAAACCGGTCGATGCCGGAGCCAAGTTAGAAAGCGCGAAAGCCTCTCAGTTGAAAGCAAGGCCTGCCCTGTGATCCCCCCCCCCCCGAGTCCCTTCTCTCTGTCTAAAACAACCCCAGCAGGCAAGGAGGCCGCGTCGAGCCTGAAGTTCACACTGAGGATTTAGTCCGAGTCCCATAATGGCCGGGCAGCGTACATGGCTTCATGTCTAAATTTTTGTTGTGGGGGGGGGTCATGTCGTTTGAAGCACAACCGCACCTAATCTTTGCATTTTAACACACCAGATTTTTTTTGATAAGGTGCAGCCACCAACACAGGGCAACTTGGAAGGGGGGAGGGGGGACCCCTAAATTGCCTCCTTGACGGTACAAGATTTCCAAGTCCTCCCTTTACGGGCCCCAGTTTTGCTGCATCCTCTTAACGGCGCCAATTTTTTGCAAAGAGTTTCGTAAACTTGGAACAAGGCAGTGGTGGGTTCCTAACAGTTCGGACCAGGTTAACCAAACCGGTAAGTGGTATGGCGGTCTGAGTCGCTGGAACCGGCAGCGGCCCAGGACTGCCACGCCCCTGAACCGGTTCCCCGGTCTCTTCTGCCATCACTGCCAGGTTTCTGCACATGAGCAGAAGAGTTTTCAGCCAACTGCGCAACACAGCAATGCATGGCGGGCGCAAACGAAGCGAACCAGTAGTAAACCGGCTAGGAACCCTCCACTGGAACGCAGGTCTGCTTAACGCACGGAGGGCAGCGGATCTCTGACCAGTTTAGCATCCTGGTTTAGGGAAGCTGTTGCTGTCAACGGGGAAGGGCCCACTATTTTTTAAAAAATATCTATTTCTTCAAACCCTGGTTCTCCAAAGGCCGTGCTTCCCTCCCCCTGACGCCTTCTCGGCTGACAGTGTTAGATGTTTGCAGCTGTGCAAAAACTCAGGCAGGCCCAGGACAACTCGCCACAGCCAAGAGTTACATGAATGTCCAAGAAATGGTGGAACCCAATCCTTAAAGGATGCAAAAGGAGGGACGGAACGGCCAAAAAGTTTAAATATATTTTTTTTTTAAATTTATTTTGAATAATTAAATTGATTTGTTTAAATTGTCCTGCGGAGAGTTGGCCGCGACGAATTAGCCTCAGGAAGTGGGCTGGGGCAAATTGTCCCATTCTTCTTCTGGATAGTTCTTCTACTCAACATCCCAAAACCAGGGTGATTTTTTTGGCCCAATTTTTACAAGCAGGAGAAGTTGCGTCACTGTGCAATCTTCCTCAGAAGTGTGAGTTGAGTAGAGGATTTTCCCCTTTGAAAAACTATCTCACCAAGTCAACAATTCCAAAATTTCAGCTGCTTTAATTCTATATCCACAACACTGAAATGACTTGGAGTGGGGGGGGGGGGAATAGCTATTTGACCCTGCAGAAATTCCTTTATTTATTTATTTTTCTGCTTTTTGGGTGGAAAACCATTTTTTCCACGGGGTCCAAAATCACCATTTACCATTTAGTTTTTTTTAAAAAAAAGGGGGGGGGGTACTAGTAAGAAAGTTGGGTGCTATCCCCAGCAAAACCCTTGCCTTGGTATTGCCCAGAGAAGTTCTCTGCAAAGGTTTGGGGTTAATGCTTAAGCCAGGATCTAGTACTTAAATCCTAGAGACCGAGTTATGGGTCAGGACGAAGGGACTTGAAGCTGTAGGCTGCAGAATCAAAGAATGAAATCCTTCCAGCCTCAGGTTAAAAAATAACACACGGATTACGAGCCTGTAGCTAACTCATCGCTATTGGAAAAATAGAACGGTGAAGCTGTATTCAGTCGGAGGAAAAGTCAATTAGAATTTATCCTACAAAGACTTTCCAAGAATCTAATCCTCAAAGACTTTTTCAAGTCCTTCAAGGATGAGAATTTTTTTTTAAAACAACAACAACAAAAACCTCGAATGCCTTTAAAACTCTCTTCAATTTACCTTAATCCAAGCAGCCCTTTAGTAAATGACACTCATCTTTGCAATCTTTAAATTGAAAAGTGCTGCTATTTTTTAAATTCCACCACAGTTGGGAATGGTGGCAGGAGGCCTTTTGCCAACCGCAGACGGGTGTATATTTTTATTTTTCAAAATCCAGTTGTTTTCTAATATGCCAAAAAAAAGGAGGGGGGCGACCATGAGCCCAGTTTTCTCGCAATTTAATCTGCTCCTAATTCTAACATAATTGAGAAATGGGTACCAGGGATATAAAATCCCCAGTTTTAGAGAAAGCTTCTAGACCTGGCTGTGCAGTACACGAATTCTTCAGTTTGAAAGTATTTTTATAACACCTGGAGTTGGTACCACCGGCAGAAATTCAGAAAAGTTTGATTTATGCCAACTTCCTTTTTTTTCTTTTTGCTTTCTTTGCTACTCATGGCTGCTAAATGATCAATAAAACTGAAAGATAAAATGTTTATAAAGGGAAAAATATACCTAGATAGACATTGTGTCTTTTTCAACAGAAGTGCTGTATAAAATGCAATTGTGAATGGCATTTTTTATAGTATGTTTTCCAAGAGACCACTACAAATACTTGCGATAAACAAGTACATATATATATATATAAATATAAATATAAATATATATTAAAGCTTAGGATTGAATTGTCTTATAAACAGATTGCACATAAATATATTATTATCCTTAAAGGGGGAAATCATAAAAAATATTACGGTACGGAACTAGTTTACTAGTTGTCTCCGATATAATGAATGTTTATGAGGGGGCAAAAAAATGCACTGTTGAATCATTTTAACCTGGTAGCGTGTTTCCCCCAAAATAAGACAGGGTCTTATTTTCTTTTGACCCCCGCAATAAGCGCTTGGCCTTATTTTTGGGGAGGTCTTATTATTTTTGAGGTGCAGGAGGAGGCGGTGAGCGTTGTAGTCACCTCATGGCTGCTGTTGTGTTGCAACATTTGCGGGAGGGTTTATTTTCAGGGGAGGGCTTATTTTAGCGCATGAGCTCAAAAGCCCGATTGGACTTATTATCCAGGGAGGTCTTATTTTCGGGAAAATGGAGTAGTTAGAAGAATTAATGAGTGAAACAGAAGTTGCCTTCAAAGGTTGTGAATGCTCCAACACTGAAGCTTTTCAGAAGATGTTGGATAACCATTTATCTGAAATTCTCCAGGGTTTCCTGCCCAAGCAGGGGGTTGGAGTAGAAGACCTCCAAGGTCCCTTCCAACTCAGTGATTCTAATTTTAAGCTACTTTTAAGAATCAGCACTTTAGTTTCTGCTTTGGAGTGAAATAGGACCCACAAAATACCTCCTTCCTTTCCATGACCGGATGCTGAACATAGCCCAGGAACCATCTGCCACCACACGACGTTTCTGAAAAGTAGAGTTTTATTTTTCTTCCAAAATAATATGTACAAATCTGCTGAAGGATCTAAGGGCACGATTTAACAAGGATTTGAGAGGATTCCAGTCGGTCCTGGTTTCTCCCTCCCCCGTCCCCCCCCCCCCAAACCTCAATGAGAGACTCTCTTGCCACTTTACTTTTACAAAATACTTTATGAATAGGAACGTTTTTTTAAAGTTATCTATATTTGACACCATACAAAATAAATTCAATATTCGATTTTAAACCTTTGCTTTTTTTCTTTTCCCCTTTTGTGCTTCTTTCTTTCTTTTTCTTTCTCTCTCTCTCTTTTCTCTCTCTCTCTTTCTTTCTTTCTTTCTCTTCCTTCCTTCCTTTCTTTCTTCTTTCTTCTTTCTTCTTTCTT